CTACAGAATGCACGAGCAAGGGCCTGACTCTCGAGATCTGTAAGTACGATACTGTGAACACACATTTTGTCATATTTATAGCACTCTTCCACATCCCTCACCTGAAGGTGCTGAGTGTGTTATATCTAACGCAAATGAGTCAACTCAACAACTTGTGCTATAAACTGGGTGCGGTGAGCACATCTTTAACCCCAGCACTCCAGAAGCAGGGCAGGTGGTCTCGGTGAGTTTAACACCTGTCTGTTCTACTAGCGAGCTCCAGGCCAGCCAAGGATACGTAGAGACCCTGTCTCAAAAAGAAAAAAAAAACAAACAAAACAAACAAACAAACAAAAAATCCCAACCAAACAGAAAATGATGTGCGCTAAGTGGAAAGAGAGTAAATTTCACCCATGTGCACTTCTCACCTAGTCTCTTTGTTAACTTTCACTCAACTTGAGGTCCTTATAAAGGAAGTGAAGCTTGCAAAAGGCATTTGTGTGATGGCTGCTGGGTTATAAATAAAATATAAAATAATACTGTTGGGGCACTGAGAAGCATGTTTGGATATAGGGGATCATGAACATCGGAAGCTTTCTGGCTGAGAAGTGTTTGACCCTCCCACCGGCCTTGGTGGTGGGGAGACAGACACAGGAAGAAGCTGGGATCAGAAAGACAGGCTTGCCAGCGCCAGAGGGATCATCACTGGAGCTAAATTCCGACCTATATCTTGCACTTGTACCTCTGACCACATCATCCCATTTCTTCCTAAGAGAACTGAGATGCTTTTTAGGCAGTTCAAATATCACTCCAGAAGAAACGAAAAATCTGCCCTTCTTCACTTTCCTTTCTCTGCACCCTGAAGAGGCCTAAATCTTCCTTCATGCCCACATCAAACTCGAGACACCGGGCTCCCTTGAATTCCTTTTATTCGGCACAGCTTCTGCAGCGGTCTCCAAGCACCTGTAGGTCTTTAAAGGGAATGTTAAAGGAAGCAAAGACACGTCCTCCAGCACGGGGCTCAGCAAACGGCGCATAAATCAAAGCCAGAGAGAAGCCTGCTAGCAACCCGGAAATCAAATTGTGTCTGTGAGAAGGACAGTGTGGAAAATAGATTAGAAGGGCTCTGAACAAGAGAGGATAAAGACAGCCAGCCCCTGAAAAAAATTAGCGGGAGGAAGACAGGGCCTGGAGAAGCAGCCTGAATTCACAAAGAGCCTTGCACTGCCTCAGGATAGACCCGTGTTTCAGCCACTTACGCCAATTCCTGCCTGGATAATGCAATGGTCGCCCAGTTATGTCAGCTCCTGCCTAGATATTGCAGTGGCTGTCCATTTCCACATCTTTCTTTGTGGAAACTTTCCATTCCATCCACGGTGTCTATACTCTGAGTTCTAATTTGTTCCTTTTCTCAAAGCCTTATTATATATGCCACCCTCTCGTCCATGCTCATGCTGTATGCTTTTGAGACAGACACTTTGTCATATTTATATCACTCTTCCTCATCCCTTACCTGAAGCTGCTGAGTGTTTTCTGTCCAAGGCAAATGATAAACTCAAGAATCTGTGCCCAGACTGGCCTTGAACTCAGTATGTGGCCCAGGACTGCCCTGAACTTCTGCTACTCCTGCCTCTACCTCCCAAGTGGGGCATTATTGGTGTGAGCCACCCACCCCCAGCTCCCAGCCCCCACTCACATCGACAAATTCTGCATTACAGGTTCAAAATTGGAAAAATGTAAGATGTACAAAAGGTTGTTGGGTATGGCGACACACTTGGAAGGTAGAAGCAGACAGATCTCTGAGTCTGACACTAGCCTGGACATAGCGAGTTCCAGGTCAGCAAGAGATACTATGCAATGAATCCTATCTTTAAAAAAGCCTTATACAAAAGAATTTGGCATACTAAGTGTTTATGATAAATCCCTGGAACGAAGAGATGTTTAGTATTTAAGTTATAAGAACTCCAGAGATTATTTAAAGTGAGCATCACACCATTTTATGCAAGAGAAGGGTGTATCCATGGATTTGGGACCTTTTCTCCAACTCTGTTGAGGTAAAGTCTATTTATCGATATATTGTCCCCAAACCAACCCCTCTAGTCCTCTCAGGGAAACTGCCTTGTGTAAGGTGAGAGGCATCTTTCAGCTGACTGTGGCCTATGATGTGACTAGCTGAGTAAGCCTTTTCTCTGCGCACTGCATCTCTTGGGGTGATAGTCTGAACAGACAGGGCAGTCCCCAAAGCCACCACGAGGTTCTTTCGCACTCTACCTTTCTGAGTCAGAAAGCTGCAACTTTTACTTTTTTTGGTCTCTTTTGGATGCCGGCCAATTGTAAGTATGATTTTTTCTGATACTTTGCACTCCTCTGCACTTCGTCTAAAGCTCCATCCCTGCCCTGTGACTGCTTGCCACCACGAGCTGACCTCCACGCCAACTTTACTCAAATGACTTAGCTTTTTTTTCCCCTCTCTATTCTCTGCCTACTCTGGGTTGCGAAGATTTACAGCTTGCTTGCCCTGGGTCTTTTCACTTAAACTCTAATAAAACTGTCCTCAACAGGGCTGGAGAGATGGCTCAGGGGTTAAGAGTTCCAGCTGCTCTTCCAGAGGTCCTGAGTTCAATTCTCAGCAACCACATGGTGGCTCACAACCATCTGTTATAAGATCTGGTGCCCTCTTCTGGTGTGCAGATGTATATGGAAGCAGAATGTTGTATACATAATAAATAAGTAAATAAAATCTTTTAAAAAAAGAGTAGGTTAAGGTATTTTAAAAAACTGTCCTCAAGGAGAGAGAGAGAGAATGTTGTATTTATCACTATATAAACCTATAACTTTATGAGCTTGATTGTTGTTTTAAAAAATCTCTATTACATTTAGTGTGTGCATCTGTGTATACTTGCATGCCTGCACATGTCATGGCACACTTGTGGAGTCAGGGAAAAACTTTTAGGAGTCAGAAGTGCCCTTCCACCAGATGGGTCCTCAGGTCCTCAGGCTTGGTGGCACATTTACCTGCTGAGCCATTCCACCAGCTCTATGAGATTAAGGCTATTTCAAAACCCCATTTGGCTTAGTGGCAAAAACTTAACCTAAGCCCATTTCAACTTGTATGCCATTCTCCTCCAGGGGAACTTGGCTGGCTCTTTCTCAACTTGCCATAATAGTCACTCTCTTCTTCCTTTTCCCATAGGCTCTACTTGCCCTACTCCTGCCCCAAATCTTAATTTGGCCTCAGGCTGGAAGCCTTGTTCTGAATCACCTGGCTCCTACCACAGACAACCCCCTCTGACACTCTGTCTGGCACTCTATGCACACACATCTGGGTCCTGTTGCTACTTACTTGCTGGATTGCTCACACCACACCCCTAAAGTAAGGGAGATCATTCCAAAACTCATAGGCCAGCACTACAGTTTGTCTGGTCCAACAAGACATGGCTAACCTATTATATTTGCTTTGTATTCTTCCACCCCTAAGAGACAAGCTTTAAAAACTCAGAAGCCAAGAATTGCAACCCTCTAAACTCCTGAATTCGGTGGGATCTTGGGTTTCTTCAAGGAAACAAAGAATAACCCAGCTTCCTAGATACAGCAAAAGTTTAAAAAAAAATGGAGAGATGAAGGGTGGTAGAGGAGTCTTAAATGATCAAAATATTGTCTACTATATTCTTTGTTTTGTCGAGTTACAAAGCTGAGAGTGAGAGCTTCACTCATGTTAAGCAGAGCTTCACTCATGTTAAGCTACCATGTTTCATTAATAGTCTCTGTGTGTGACTTTTCCTAGGGAGACATGAACAAGACATCCATAGGCCAAAGAAACAATTATACCCTAAGCTAGCTTAGGGAACCAGTAAGTCTATTGGGGTTTCCTACAGAAATAGGGTGAGGAGCTACTTGGGGGAGCAACCCCAAGGCAGCCCAAAGGCAGCTGCACTGATTAAAATCCCTCACTGGCACAGGTGAAAACTCACAGAAGGCTGCTTTCCTGCAACTCCTTGAATGTCTTGCAGGGAGATCAGCAAAAACGGTTACTACTTATAAAAACATGGAGAGAGCCTTGTGGATCTTGTAAGTTTCAGGAACTTCTTGACACTTGTAAATTTTGTTTGCATTCTGAGACTTAGTGGATGCATCTTTGTATACTGTTATCCTTGCAGAACCATGTGGTAAGGGGTGCAGGCTCCTGGGGATGGCACCTCCCTCCAGAAACAACACAATCCTAAAAGCTAAGATTATTTATTCTGTGTCTCCCACAAATATCCACATTTGCAAGAACTACTAAAAAGCAAGGCGGGTAGTCTCCTTCTGTGTAATACCTTTCACGGTAAGATGTGTCTCTCATCTAGCCACTGGGATCCTGAGGAGTCCCGGCTTTCCCTGGGTGCAAGTGGAAAGCCCAAGTTATAAATATGGTTCTCCCGCGTCTGCACCGGAAGAAAATGCAAAACATTCCAAGTTCTAGTAGGCTAAATAGTCTTTGCGATCCAGGATCACCCACAAGGCATGGGGGTGTTTCCTGTGGGAGGCGCGAGCCTAGTAATGTGTAACACAGCTCCTGCCACTCATCACCTGCTCGTTTCACAACATCCGGCACATTCCTGGTGTCATTACAGAAAGCCAACCCAGTTCTCCCCTCCCTTAAACTCTTTCACAGCCGGACTAAACCAAACAAACCGCTGGAACTGGCCTGAGTTTCAAGTCAGTGACCTACTCCGGTGGGCAGGCGCTGCCCCGCCCCGTC